AACTTGGATTTCCTCAACCCTTATCTGCCGCGCACACACGTGCGGGGAACGCCCCCCCCAAACCCCTTCCTCTCAGGTTTCGTCTGGATTCGGGATCCGGGCCGACGGGACTCGCGCCAGGTCAGTGCACGCCTCGCCATCGCGCCGTTTGTGATTCGCGGTCCGCGTCTTCCCGAAAAGGCGGCGGGCATTTGACGTTGAGGTTTGAGCCCATTCTCAGGTTGCCCGACTTTGACTTCAGCCGGCGTTCAAATTCTGCAGCTGCCCACTGCCCCCGATTCCCTCCTCGCGCAATCTTCCAAATCGCGCCCTCGCTACGGGAAACTCCCGCTTCCGCCCCTCCTCAGCCCTCACCTGTACTGGCGGCGCCCCGATTGCCCCGGGTTTTTCGGACGCCGGGGGCGCGGCATCTGGACGCGGCCGAGCGGAACGGGCCCCCGCGTCTTTGATTACTTTCATGTCAACTCACGCCGTAATTGCAGCGTTGCCGCGGCAACCCCGCTCACGCAAGCGCATTTCACGCTCCCGGACGCACGACGAGATGGCAGATGGATACCGCTGAGAATTAGAATAATAATAATAATAATAATAATAATAAAAAGATATATCGCAACAGCTGTGATCGCAAGCTGTAATTGCAGACTGCTGACCGCTAACAACTTCCGGTTATAGAGGTCACGCGCCAGCGTAGGTTAAAGGTGACCTGTTTTTTTATTTTTGGAATACTTTGTGAAGGTGAAACTGATAGGATGCTTAGGGTGCAGTATACACTATCACAAAAATATATAATAGGAATAACACGTATACATGACTCGTAAGATGCTCTCGTCGGGGTTCGGCGCCTGAGAGCGGGCCACGAGGAGGACGTTACATAACACGCACACGGGCGCACGTGGCGGCGGCGGTCTTCGGCTGCGAGCTCACGACGCCTCGCAACGATGCCGCCGTAGACGATGCGGGGCGAACGCCATTTGATGATGCCATCGCAGTGTGACATCATGGGCTGATGACATCATCAAACCTCGGGGACGCATCGCAAATGGCAACCTGGCCCACAACGGCGCTCTTATGTAAGCTAGCGGTCGAGCCTGGCGGCGGTCGGCGTCGCGCGCGCACAAACGCACACCGAGAAATTACCGCGCACACACCAATCAACCGCCCGGCGTACAGTCCACAAACATCACATGCACACACAAAAACGCGTGTGGCTGGTCGTGTTTGAATGTGTGTGTGAATATGGCTGAGTGGGTGCGTATGCATGCGCTTTGTTACTTGTGTGTGTGTGTGTGTGTGTGTGTAAGCCTGGCGGCGGTCGGCGTCGCGCGCGCACAAACGCACACCGAGAAATTACCGCGCACACACCAATCAACCGCCCGGCGTACAGTCCACAAACATCACATGCACACACAAAAACGCGTGTGGCTGGTCGTGTTTGAATGTGTGTGTGAATATGGCTGAGTGGGTGCGTATGCATGCGCTTTGTTACTTGTGTGTGTGTGTGTGTGTGTGTGTATATACGCAGACGCATCCACACGCATGCATGCACACCTGAAGACGCACAGGCAAAGAGGGAGGAAACGAGTGTGTCATCGTGTATAATTAGCGAGCGTCACGTGGCCCGGCGGCGCCCCCCGGCACGAGGCGACGGAGGCGAGCGCTACCGCATCAACT